TGTACACTATCATGTCATCTGCAAACAATGATAGTTTTACTTCCTCCTTTCCTATTTGGATGCCTTTTATCTCTTTCTCTTCTCTGACCGCTGTGGCTAGGACTTCCAATACGATGTTGAAAAGAAGCGGTGAGAGCGGACATCCTTGTCGTGTTCCCAATCTTAGTGGGAAAGCTTTCAGTTTTTGCCCGTTGAGTATGATATTGGCTGTAGGTTTTTCATATATGGCCTTTATTACGTTGAGGAATGCCCCATTTATTCCCATTTTGCTGAGTGTTTTGATCATAAATGGGTGCTGTACCTTGTCAAATGCTTTTTCTGCATCTATCGAGATGATCATGTGGTTTTTGTCTTTTCTTTGATTTATGTGGTGTATCACGTTTACTGATTTGAGTATATTGAACCATCCCTGCAGCCCTGGGATGAATCCCACTTGATCGTGATGGATAATCTTTTTAATGTATTGCTGGATGCGGTTTGCCAATATTTTGTTGAGGATTTTAGCATCTATGTTCATCAGCGAAATTGGCCTGTAGTTTTCTTTCTTTGTAGGGTCTTTATCTGGTTTTGGGATCAGGGTGATGCTGGCCTCATAGAAGGAGTCTGGCAGTCTTCCCTCCTCTTGGATTTTTTGGAATGGTCTGAGAAGGACAGGGGTTAGCTCTTCCTTAAATGTTTTGTAAAATTCTCCTGGGAAACCGTCTGGCCCTGGGCTTTTGTGTGCTGGGAGTTTCTTGATGACTGCTTCAATTTCCCCAACTGTTATCGGTCTGTTCAAGCTTTCTGTTTCTTCCTCCTTCAGTGTTGGAAGATTATACTTTTCTAAAAATTTGTCCATTTCATCAAGATTTTCAAATTTCTTGGCATATAATTGTTCATAATAGTTTCTGATAATCATTTGTATTTCTGTGGTATCAGTTGTTATTTCTCCTCTTTCATTTCTGATATTATTAATTTGGGTCCTCTCCCTTTTTTCTTGATGAGTCTGCTTAAAGGTTTGTCAACTTTATGAATCTTTTCAAAGAACCAGCTTCTGGATTGGTTGATCCTCTGAATTGTTCTTTTTGTCTCTATGTCATTCAGTTCTGCTCTAATCTTGACTATTTCCTTCCTTCTACTTGCTCTGGGATTTATTTGTTGTTGTTTCTCCAGTTCTTCAAGTTGTAGTGTTAGGTCTTTTATTTGAAATGTTTCTATCTTTTTAAGGTAAGCCTGTATTGCTATGAACTTCCCTCTCAGGACCGCCTTTGCTGTGTCCCATAGGTTTTGGACAGTTGTCTGTTCATTTTCATTTGTTTCCAGAAATTTTTTGATTTCTTCTCTTATCTCATTATTGACCCATTCATTGTTTAATAGTGTACTGTTCAGTCTCCATGAGTTTCCAAGTTTTTGAAGTTTCTCTTTGAGTTTGATTTCGAGTTTCAAGGCCTTGTGGTCTGAGAAAAAGTTTGGTATTATTTCAATTTTCCTGAATTTACTGAGGCTTGCTTTGTGTCCTATCATGTGGTCTATCTTTGAAAAACTGCCATGAGCATTTGAAAAGAATGTGTATTTTTCTTCTTTGGGATGTAAGATTCTATATATGTCAGTTAAGTCTCTTTGATTCAGTGTTTCATTCAGCGCCACGATATGTTTATTAATGTTTTGTTTGGAAGATCTGTCCATTTTTGACAGTGGGGTGTTGAAATCCCCTACTATCAGTGTGTTGCTATCTATATCTTTTTTGAAGTCATCCAACAATTTCCTTATAAACTTGGGGGCTCCTATATTGGGAGCATATAAGTTTACAATGTTGATGTCTTCTTGATAGATTCTTCCTTTAAGTATGATAAAGTGCCCCTCTGGGTCTCTCTTTATGGCCTTTGCTTTGAAATCTACTTTGTCTGATACAAGTATGGCAACGCCAGCCTTTTTCTCATGTCCATTTGCTTGGAATATTATTTTCCATCCCTTTACTTTCAATCTGTGTAGGTCTTTTGCTCTGAGGTGGGTCTCTTGTAGGCAGCATATGTGTGGGTCATGTTTTCTTATCCATTCAGCTACCCTGTGTCTTTTGATTGGGGCATTTAGTCCATTCACATTGAGAGATATTACTGATAGAAACTTACTCATCTTTTCTCTTTGTACTTGTGTTCCTCTCTGTCTCATTCTTTTCCTTCATCTGCTTAAACCAGTCCCCTTAGCATATCTTGGAGTGCTGGTTTGGTAGAGATGTATTCTTTTAGCTTTCTTTTGTCTGGGAAACTCCGTATTTCTCCTTCTATTTTAATGGAGAGCCTAGCTGGGTAGAGCAGCCTTGGCTGTAGGCCCTTGCTTTTCATGGCTTGGAATATTTGTTGCCATTCCCTTCTGGCTTGTAGTGTTTCTGTTGAGAAGTCAGCTCCTAGGCGTATCGGGGCCCCCTTGTATGTTACTTTCTCCTTCTCCCTTGCTGCCTTGAGGATTCTCTCTTTGTCTTTGACATTTGCCATTTTAATGATGATGTGTCTTGGAGTGGACCTCCTTGGGTCCTTCTTGAGTGGGGTCCTCTGTGCCTCCTGGATCCATGAGAGCCTTTCTCTCCTCAAATTAGGGAAATTTTCCATCATTACTTTTTCGAGGAGGTTCTCTATTCCTTGCTCCTCTTCTTCTCCTTCTGGTATCCCTATTATACGGATATTATTGCGTTTCAGGTTGCCCTGCATTTCCCTAAATGCTTCTTCATTCTTTTTGAGCCGTTTTTCCATTTCTTGTTCTTTCTGGGAGCTTTTTTCTACCTTGTCCTCCATCTCACTGATTCGATCCTCAGCTTCATCCAGCCTGCTTTGGATTCCTTCTACTGTGTTCTTCAATTCAGAAATGGTATTCTTCATATCCTCTTGTGTCTTCTTGATAGTTTCTATGTCCTTTTCCAGGCTGATATAGTTTGCTGTAAGATCCTGATAGTTTCTCTGCAGTTTCTCATAGTTATCTTTGAGCTGGCTGAGCTCATTGAGCTTCTTTAGAACCATTGTTTTAAATTCCATATCTGATAGTTCCCTTGCCTCTATTTCATTTAGCTCTCTGTGTGGGGAGTCCCCTTTTCCACTCATTTGGGGGGAACGTCTTTTTCTTCCCATTTTTGTGAGAGTCTGTTAAGTATTTTTGTCCTTTACTTTTCTTTCTGGGCTTGCCTCTGATGATGTCAGTTGTTGACCCTATAGGGCCTTGGGTTGTTTGTTTGAGCCTTTCAGGAGTCTAATGCCTGTGTCTGACTCCTGCTTGGAGCAGCTCTGTGACCCCTTCGATCAGGGCTGGGCTATTTTTGGGGATCTCTCTGCGCTCTCAGGAGAGCTCCTTGAGCGCGTTCCCAGTGCGGCAGGGTCCCCCACCTGCCTGGGCTCGCATCTGTTTGCCCCAGACCAGGGGGCTTATTCGCGACCTCCCGTGCTCATCTGGCCTCCCTGGCACGCGAGCTTCGTGGCACTGGTCAGTTTAGGGTCTTCTATTGTGTGTTTTCCCCGCTTTTGGCTCTTTGGGTGCGTTGCTTGCCCTCGCCAAATGGGGACTACGGAAATGGGAGGAAATCAGCTCTAGGACTCTCCGGTTAATCCTGTTTCTGGTCTCTCCTCCAGGGACTCTGGGCAGCTCTACTTATTTTGTGGGCAGCTCTACTTATTTTGTGGGCTGCTCCGCAATCGCGGCGGGTAGGTCAATTTATGCCTGCCCTTGCCCCTCTGTGCAATCCCTCGCAGGCCGTATGGGTGCCAGTCTGTGTGAGGCCTTGCCGGCAGGTGCAAGCGTTCGCCAGCCCGCGTGGGTCACACACACACTCGCCAACCCTCGCCAGTCACTGGGCGCAAGTGTGCGCGCCTGCTCTGGGTGTTTTGGGGGTGTCTATGTTTGCTTTTCGGCTTTTGGCTCTTTGGGGGTGTGGCCTCTTCCCGTGCAATGGAGACTTCGGCAAGGAGAAGGAGTCAGGACTCCCCGGTTCCTCCTCCCGTTCTTTCCCCAATGCCTCCGTTTCTAGTCTCCCCTCAGGGGCCTCTGGGCAGTTCTGTGACCCCTTCAGCCGAGGATCCAACCCCTGTGCGGACTGCGTTTCAATCGCAGGCAGTCTGGTTGATGCGCGCCCCGCTTCTGCCTCTTTGGGGTCGCGCCTTTCCAGCCCACAATGGAGACTACCGAACGTGGAGGGAGTCGGGACTCCCCGGTTCCTCCTCCCGTTCTTTCCCCAATGCCTCCGTCTCCAGTCTCTCCTCAAGGCTCTCCCAGCCAGTCTGCACTCAGCCCAGTAGCTCACAGGCGTACAAGCTGTGTGCGGAGCGCACAAAAGGCAGGTTAATTGATTCCCTTATGCCTGAGCGAGATGGTAGCTGCAGAGTGGGAAGTGCGTTATCACCCGGGCTCCACCGGCCGCAGTGTCAGTTCTCTTCACAAAGTTTTCCTCACCAGTCTTTTCCCAGGCACCAGCCCACCCTGCTGCCGCCTCTACCCAGCGATCAAGGAGGGTGGCTGCCACTGCCACTTTTGCGTTTGCCCTTTAGATGTCTTTTTGCATCCCCAGCCACCTGTCTCTGGCAGAGAGCGCCCCTAAGCTTTTTGGGGTTGCGTTTTGTCTGTATTTTCTCGGCTTTAGCTGCTGTAGTTTAGGGGTTCCTGTTTATGATTCAGACCCCGTTCTTCTCGGGGGACGCTAACTGGCCGTTTCAATGTCCCTCTGGTGCCAGTGCCCGTGCGCACCCAGCCCACCCTCTCGAGCCTCCACCGCAATTCTCACCCGTTGGGATGTGTGAGAGTCGAATCCACTGTCCGCGGCACCAAGGCTCCTCTCCCACTATCGCTCCACTGCTTTCCAGGTGATTACTCCATTATTTAGTTGCAATTCCAGTTTGGTTTTGGGAGGAGGTCAGCATGACTCCCTTTCACTCCTCCGCCATTTTTTTCTATCTCCCCTATATTAGCTTTTCAAGTATTCAAGATGCATCATATAAAGCAGGATAGCCCACACCTTCACTATTTCATAGATCTGAAATACTTACGGGTTATTAATCGAATGTTTATGATTTTTCCATCCAATTTTTGCGAAGTGTTCAACTTTTGTTCCTGTAGAGAAAGGAAATATCTATTCATGAGTTAATGTTTTTTGGCTGCTTGTTAACAAATATTGCAATGGTACTCAGTGTTCTACTACATATTTCCACATTTTCCCTTGCACAGATATCAGTACTGAAGATGTCAACATTGATCCTTCAACAAATATTTGTTAATTATTAAACCTGGGTATATTTACTGAATTGAATCAACTAATAGGCATACAGGGTGGGGCAAAAGTAGGTTTACAGTTGTTTGTATGGAAAACAATACAATAGTTAATAAATAATAATACAAGAATAAATTCTATGTTTTGTGTACTCAAAATTGTAAACCTACTTTTGCCCCATCCTGTATAATATGAAAATAGTTCAAACTGGCCAATTCTACCTAATAGAACTAGGATCCAACTTCAAAAACTAGGAAATATAGACTGGGACCACAGTGATTCTAAGGCAAGAAAAAAACTGCCAGCAATTCTTGAAGAAGTCTGCCAAAACATCCTCATGCCCCTTGAGTAAGGGAATAAGGTAGACTGCATCCACAGTGGTGATCTCGTATCAGTAAGAGTGGTGATCAGAAGGCAGCCAATATGGGTTCACAAACAAGCCACACCATGTTAATATTTTTTATTAGACCGATTGGAAGATAAAATGAAATATGGTATCTGGATACCAGCAAGAAAATGAAATTTTCAGGACATCTTTTGGGACAAGGTAAGGAAATACTGTAGTGCGGATTTTGGTTTTTTCTTTTATTTTTTCAGGGGTTTTTTTGGTATTGCTGAAAATACAAGGGGTCTTCCGTAAAGCTGAGATAATACTGGATTAATCAAAATTTAACAGATGTCTTCACAGCAAGACACTCAGAGACTCTACTATTGCATATGTATTATGACTGTCCAATAGGGAGTTAAAGTACAATATGAAGCATTTCCCAACTTAACTGACTCACATTATAGAGCATCTTATAAGCTTAATGTCCCATGGAACACACACAATAGGTTGTTGTTGACTAATGCATTAACCTAGAAAAAAATATCTAGCGCTAACTAACCTTTAAGCTGATACAATAAGTGGATAAATGAGTGTCTGGTTAGATACCATGTTAAAGAAGAGAAAGACTTAGAAGCTTTGATTCTTTGGGGAAAACCAAGAGCTTCTCTGGTTAACATTTCTATCAAAAACTGGATTAGAAAACAAAGGCACTCTCACCAAACCTGAAGGTGGGAGGGGCTGCTATAATGTTGGATCCAAATAGTCTTCAACAAAGTTAATCAATGCAATGAATCAGAATATAATTAATTAAACACCCAATTTTATTCATGGATGCCACTCCCCAAAAAAAATCTGGAAAAAGTAGCAACAGCTATGAGAAAGGCTCAGAGGTTCTGCTTGATCACAAGCTCAACAGTTTAACAGTGTGATGTAACAACCAAAAAAACTTACATGCAATCACAGCACAGTAAATCAGACTGTTGACAATGGGTTATAAAATAAGTCTATTAAGAAATATTTAACGAGAACTTCCAGCCAAGATGGAGGCAAAGGTAGATACACCTTTGTCTCCTCTCACAACCAAAAGAAGGATAACAACAAATTTAAAAACAAAAAATAACCAGACTGCCAGAAAATCGAACTGTATGGAAGTCCGACAACCAAGGAGCTAAACAAGAAACATTCACCCAGACTGGTAGGAGGGGAGGAGACAAGCAGCCTGCGGGGAGAGGACACGCAGCAAGGTAAAGGCAAGATAAATGTGGCAGTCCCACATTTGCATGCGCATAAACTGGGAGAAACAGCTGGGGGGCAAGACAGACCATGCAATCCATGGTTCCAGTATGAGAAAAGAAAAAAGGGGAGGTTAAAAATAGTATAGGAAATGGAGAAGCCAAAAAACTTACATGTATGACCCATGGACATGAACTAAAGGGGGGAGGGGGAACAGTGGTGGGATAGGGGGTGCAGGGTGGAGCGGAATAAAGCGGAGGAAAAAAATGGGACAACTGTAATAGCATAATCAATTAAATATGTATTTTTTTAAAAATTGAAAAAGAAATCTTTAAAGAGAAATTAAGCACAGGCTGACTTCAGATATTTGAAGGGCTATACGGTGAAAGAGACTTGTTCTGTGAGTCTCAGAAGAGAAAAACAAGACTATGGATGGAAACCATAGGGAAAGAGATTTTAATTCTATTAGAATATTTACAAGTAATTCATTCATGGATTGGTAGGAAAGCGGGCAGCTAAATTATTCAGGGTGTGGCAAGAGTAGGTTTGCAGTTTCCTATCAGAAAAGTGAAGTATATTTCCCTGTCCCTTGATTCCAACTTTGCCATGTGACTTGCTTTAGTCAACAACTTAAGTCTCAAAAGGACTTGCATGTGCAAATTACTCTCCTGTGCTTCTGCTTTCAACATGAAAAGTTTATGTCAGGGCTGGCATTCTGGTCCCCAGGAGTAGGATGAGAGACAGATGACTCAGTCTAAGAAGACTAGAACAGAGCCTCCAACCAGCCTACAGTCATATGATTAAGCCAGGCAAGAAGAGCTGAGCTCAGCTTAGTTCAGCTGGTTCCCAGTCTATCTACAAACTTATAAACTATAATTATAAATGCTTAAAATCATTCTGTTTTGGAATGGTTTATTACACAGCAATAGTTGTATTCCAATGTCTGGAATATAATGAGAGCTCAATAATGTTGGGTTTTATTTAAAAAAGATTTTATTTATTTACTTTTAGAGAGAGGGGAAGGGAGGGAGAGAAACACTGATAGGTTGGCACTCACATGCTCCCGATGTGGGGCCCAGCCCAAAACCCAAGACATGTGCTCCAACCAGGAATTGAACCAGTGACCTTCCAGCCTGCAGGCTGGTGCCCAATCCACTAAGCCACACCAGCCAGGGCAATGTTTTAAATACATTATTTAATTGAAAAAGAAATGGCCCTGGCTGGTGTGGCTCAGTGGATTGAGCACCAGCCTGCAAGCCAGCAGGTCGCTGTGTAGATTCCCAGTCGGGGCACATGCCTGGTTTGTAGCCCAGGTCCCCAGTTGGGGGCGTGAGAGAAGAAACAGAATGTTTCTCTCACTCAGCGATATTTCTCTCCCTCTCTTTCTCCCTCCCTTCTCCTTGCTCTAAAAAATAATAAAATTTTTTTAAAAAAGTAAAAGCTTTAAAAAGAAAAAGAAATGGACAATAGCCAAAGATCTAAGAAAAACCAGAAGAATGTGGTGTCAGAGAGGCCAAGAGAAGAGAATGTTTCAAAAAAAAAAAGTGATCAAAAGGGATTAATGCTGCTGTGGTCTATTAAATTAGGTCTGAAAAGTATTTAGTGCATATGGCAACATGGTGATCAGTGGTAGCCTTGAGAAAGTAAAGGCAGATTGGAATAGACTGAGTTAAAAATGGTAAAAAATAGGTACAAGAAAGAAAATTTCCATAGCCCAAGACTGGCAGTGCTCCATTATACGATCACACCATTATGCCTTTAAGATTTTTTTGCTTTCTGATTATGTGATTTTGGCTCTCAAACTTGGGATATTTCTCCTATAAAGAGCAGGAAAGCTAAGCTTTCAAGCATGAAAATTTTCTTTCTCATCTCACAGTACACAACAAGGCACTGGTTCAGAGTCATACAGTGAAAAATAAAAATCCTGTCTGCACTATCCCCTGCTTTAACAGGCTAAGGCCAATCATTGATATTTATAAAATATATATCAACCATGAAATGTAAATCTCATAAAACACTATAGAATGACAGGTGATGATGTACTGACTACTCGGAATAAAATTTGACTACGTAAACCTATTACCAAGACCAAGCTTTAAGGCTCATTATAATATTCAGGGCTAATGAACCTCAATTTACAGTCCATAATTAAAGGATACAAGATTTATGTTATTTTTCCTATTTCAATTTCTGGCTCTAGAGCATTCTAGGCACTTCCAATATGATGTCATACATATAAATACATTCTCTACAACTAAATCTACACAAGTTCTTCAAATTAATGCAAAAACCATTTTATATCTTATATATCCTGGCATCCTCCACTGTTCCTTAATAAATATGTGCTGCTTCTTATCATATTTATATAACATGTATATAATATGTATTAACCAATAAGCCTTAAAGTTTTTTTTTAACATACCATATTTTTCCATGTGCTCTTTTCCAGCACACCCAAATATCTGAGGAGTAACTGATTGGGGAGACAATCCATACTTATTTATCAGGACTTCAATATGTTTATCCATTGGAGAAGTCCTGTTTGGAGACTAAGAGAGGAAAAAACTAAATTTAGTAAGCATTTGACATGACAGTGTCTTTCCAATACTACAGTGTTACTAAGAAATTTGCCCATTCTAAACACAGTGTAAACCAAAACTGGACAATGTGAACAATATCAGTCAGGAAATGCTTTGCACAAAAACGTGGCAAGGAAAACAATCAAATAAACAAAAGGTACAATTCTTTCAAGAAACTTTTATAAAATAAAAAAAAGAGATAAAGAAAAGAATATTTTATTTTAAAAAATCCCATATGGACCAAAAACTACTCAAGGTGAATAAAACAGATAAAGTCTTTGCTCATCTGACATTTACATTTGAGGAGAGGGGAAGACTGGAAGGTTAAAAGGACAAAAGTAAATATAAATATAAATAATAATCCTACAAATAATAAATCCAAGACTCATTGAGAGAGGTAGGGGCTCAAATAAAATCAAAAATGAAAAAAAAGTTACAACTGATACAACAGAAATACAAAAGATCATAAGAGATTACTATGAACAATTTTATGCCAACAAATTGGACAATCTATAAAAATGGATAATTTCCTAGAAACATACAATCTTCCAAGACTGAACTATGAAGAAATTGTAAATTTGAATAGACAAATTACTAGTAAGGAGACTGAATCGGGAATTTAAAAAAAAACCAAAAAACTCTCAGGAAACGAAAGTTCAGAACCAGATGACTTCACGGGTAAATTCTACCAAATGTTCAAAGAAGACTAAAAACATATCCTTCTCAAACTCTTCCAAAAAACTAAAGAAGAGAGAATACTTCCAAAGTCATTTTACAACTCCAGCATTACCCTTATAACAAAACAAAAGGAAACTACAGGCTGATATCCTTGATGCAAAAATCCTCAAAAAATATTAGCAAATGGAATTCAACAATACATAAAGGTTCGTATATCATGTTCAAGTGCAATTCATCCTAAGGATGCAAGAATGATTCAACATCTGCAAATCAATCACTGTGATATACAACATTAATAAAATAAAGAATAAAATCATATTATCATCTCAACAGATGCAGAAAAAAAATTTGACAAAAATTTGGCATCCATTTATGATAAAAACTCTCAACAAAGTAGATATAGAGGGGACATACCTTGATATAATAAATGCCATGTATAAGAAATCCACAGCTAATATCATACTCAACAGTGAAAAGCTAAAGGCTTTCCTCTAAAAGCAAGAACAAGAAGACCCACTCCATCACGTTTTTTAAACATAGTATTGGAAGTCCTCACCACAGCAATCAAACAAGAGATAAAAATTATCCAAATTAGAAAGAAATAAAACTGTCACTATTTGCAAATGGCATAATACTATCCATAAAAAAACCTAAAGACTACACACACACACACACACACACACACACACACACACACACAGTTTGAACTAATAAATGAATTCAGTAAAGTTGCAGGATAAAAAAATATCATACAGAAAACTGGTATTGATATATACAAATAATGAACTATCAGATAAATTAAGAAAACAATCTCATTTATAATTGTGTCAAAAATAATAAAATACATAGGAATAAATTTAACCAGGGAAGTAAAAGACCTGTACACTGAAAACTATCAGGCATTGCTGAAAGAAATTGGAGACACAAATAAATGGGAAGACATTCCACATTCATGGATTGAAAGAATTAAGATGATTAAAATGTTCATACCACCTAAAGCAATGTACAGATTCAATGTAATCCCATTCAAAATTCCAATAACATATTTCAGAGAACTAGAACAAGTATTATTCTAACATTTGTATGAAATCACAAAAGACTCTAAGTAGCCAAAACAACCTTGATAAAGAACAAATTTAGAGGTATCACTTTTCCTATCAAACTATACTACAAAGCTATAATAATAAAAACAGTATAGCGGCATAAAAACAGACACACAGATCAATGGAACAGAATAAGGAACTCAGAAATAAAGCTGCACATATGTGGATAATTTACAACAAAGGAGCCAAGAACATAAAATGGGAAAGAACAACCTTCACTAAATGGAGATGGGAAAGCTGGACGGCCACATGCAAAAGAATAATATTAGATCACTGTCTTACACCACAAAAGTTAACTCAAAATGGATTAATCACTTGAACATAAGACCTGAAACCATAAAACTTCTAGAAGAAATTACAGGTGATAAAGTCCTTCACATAAGTTGTAATGATATTTCTTTGGACATGACTGCAAATGCAAGGGAAACAAGAGCAAACATTAAAAAAAAGAAAAGAGACAGAAAAAATGAAAAAGAGAAAAAAAGAAACAAAAACAAAAATAAACAAATGGGACTACATCAAATGCTTCTGCAAAGGGAAGGTAACCATCAACAAAATGAGGACTTCCAACCAAGATGAAGGTATAGGTAGATACACTTTGCCTCCTCACACAACCAAAAGAAGGACAACAACAAATTTAAAAACAAAAAATAATCAGAACTGCCAGAAAATCAAACAGTGTAGATGTCTGACAACAAAGGAGCTAAAGAAGAAACATTCACTCAGACCAGTAGGAGGGGTGGAGATGGGCAGCCAGAGCAGAAAGGACACATAGCAAGGCAGCAGCTGGAGGGCAAGGCAGCAGCTGGAGGGCCAGGTAGGCGAGATGGCAGCTGGTGGCCCAGGCAGTCCCACATCTGTGTGCACATAAACTGGAAGGAACAGCTGGGGACCAAGACATACCACGCAATCCACAGTTCCAGTGTGGAAAAAGAAATCCTCAAAACCTCTGGATATAAAAATCTGTGGGGATTACAGCAGCGGGAGAAACTCCCGGCCTCACAGGAGAGTTCACTGGAGAGACCCACAGGGTCCTAGAACATTCACAAACCCACCCACCCAGGAATCAGCACCAGAAGGGCCCAATTTGCTTGTGGGCACCAAAAGAAGTGACTGAAAACAAGCTAAGAGCCAAGCAAGCAGCATTGTTTCCTCTCTGACCCCTCCCCAACAAACGGCACCACTACACAGCGACCTGGGTTGCCCCGCCCTGGCGAATACCTAAGGCTCTGCCCCTCCAAATGCAACAGGCGCCCTGAGACAAAGGAATATGGCCCAAATGAAAGAAGAGATCAAAGCTCCAAAAATTGAACTAAGCGATGAACAGACAGCCAACCTATCAGATGCAGTTCAAAACACTGGTAATCAGGATGCTCACTGAATTGATTGAGTGTGGTGGCAAAAAGGAGGAAGAAATGAAGGCTACGCAAAGTGAAATAAAGAAAAATATACAGGGAACCATCAGTAAAGGAATGGAAACCGGAACTCACATCAATGATTGGGAGCTGGAGGAAGAGATAAACATTCAACCTGAACAGAATGAAGAAACAAGAATTCAAAAAAAATGAGGAGAGGCTTGTGAACCTCTGGAACAACTTTAAATGTTCCAACACCCAAATCACAGGGGTGCCAGAAGGAGAAAAGGAAGACCAAGAAACTGAAAACTTATTTGAAAAAATAATGAAGGAGAACTTCCCCAATCTGGCCAAGGAAATAGACTTCCAGGAGATCCAGGAAGCTCAGACAGTCTCAAAGAAGTTGGACCCAAGGAAGCACACACCAAGGCACATCATAATTATATTACTCAAGATTAAAGATAAGGAGAGAATCTTAAAAGCAGCAAGAGAAAAGGAGACGGTTCCCTACAAAGGGCTTCCCATAAGACTACTAGCTGATTTCCCAAAAGAAACCTTGCAGGTGAGAAGGGGCTGGAAAGAAGTATTCAAAGTCATGAAAGGCAAGGACCTTCATCCAAGATTACTGTATCCAGCAAATCTATCAGTTAGAATGGAAGGGCAGATAAAGTGCTTCCCAGATAAGGTCAAGTTAAAGGACTTCATCATCACCAAGTCCTTATTATATGAAATGTTAAAAGGACTTATCTAAGAAAAAGATGATGATCAGAAACTATGAGTAGTAAAATGAAAACAAACTCACAACTATCAACAACTGAACCTAAAATCAAAACTAAAAACAAAAACAAACTAAGCAAAGAACTAGAACAGGAATAGAAACATAGAAATGGAGATCAAAGGGAAGGGGGAGGTGGGAGAATGGGGGAAATGGTACAGGGAATAAGCAGCATAAATAGTAGGTACAAAATAGGCAAGGGGAGGTTAAGAATAGTATAGGAGATGGAGAAGCCAATGAACTTATATGAACGACCCATGGACATGAACTAAGGGGGAGGACTGCTGGGGGGAGGGGCAATCCAGTGGGGGAGGAGAATAAAGGGGAGAAAAAATATGGGACAAGTGTAACAGCATAATCAAATAAATATCTATTTAAAAAATGAAAAAGCAACCTACTAGATGAGAGAAGATATTTACAAAACATACATCAATAAGGGATTATCCAAAATATATAAAGAGCTCACACAGCTCAACAGCATGAAAACAAACAACCGAATTTAGCAATTGGCAGAGGATCTGAATAGAAAGTTTTCCAAAGACATACAGATGACCCAATAGGCACATGAAAAGATGTTCGCTAATTATCAAAAAAACGTAAATCGAAACCACATAAGATATTACCTCACACCTAGAATGGCCACTACCAAAAAGATAAGAAATAATAAACACTGGACAGAATGTAGAGAAAAGGAAATCCTTGAATACGGTCGTTGGGAATGTAAACTGAGGCTGCCACTATAAAAAAAAACTGCATGGCAAGAACACAAAAAAAGAAAACTACAAACCAGTATTTCTGATGAATACAGATGCAAAACTCCTAAAAAAAATACTAGCAAATCAAATACATTAAAGAATAATATATCACATATCAATTAAAAGTGAAGAAATGATAAAAGATATTTGATGCAAACAGAAACCAAAAGGAAGCTGAAGGAACTATACTTACATCAGACAAAATAGACTTTAAAACAAAGACTGTAATAAGAGACAAAGAAGGTCACTATATAATGATAAAGGGGTCACTCTAAGAAGAGGATATAACAAACACATATTTGTAAATATTTATGCATCCAATACAGACAAGAGAGAACTATACAGCAATACAATAACAGAGAACTTTAGTACCCCATTTTCATCAATGGATAGGTCATTCAGACAAAAAAAAAAAAAAAATCAATAAAGAAACACTGGCCTTAAACACCACATTAGATCAGACATGCTTAACTGACATATACAGAACATTCCATCCAAAAGCAACAGATTATACATTCTTCTGAACTGCACAGGAAACATTCTCCAGGATAGATCATATATTAGGTCACAAAACAAGTATTAATAAATTTAAGAAGACTGAAATCATATCAAGCAACTTTCCCAACCACAACAGTAGGAAGCTAGAGATCAATTACAAGAAGAAAACTGGAAAATTCACAAATACTGTATGTGGAGATTAATATGCTACACAACAACCAATGGGTCAAAGAAGAAATCAAATGAGAAATAAAAAAATATCTTGAGACAAATGATGCAGCAAAAGCAGTTCTAAGAGAAAAGTTCACAGGAATAAAAGCCTACATTAAGAAATAAGAATGATCTCAAATAAGCAACCCAACTTTACCAGGCATGTTCGACCTTTAGGTGTCTCTGGGCCACACTGGAAGAAGAAAAGTTGTCTTGAGACACAAGTTAAATAGATTGCAACACATAATCACAAAAAAATCTCAGAATGTTTTAAGTAAATTTATGATTTTGTGTTGGACCACATTCATAGCCATCCTGGGCTGCATGCAGCCTGTGGGCCACACGTTGGACATCCCTGCATACCTTTAAGAACTAGAAAAAGAAGCCCAAAGTTAGTAGAAGGAAGGAATTAACAAAGATCAAACCGGAAATAAATAAAATAGAGAATAAAAGACATTAGAAAAGATCAATTTTAAAAAATCAATGAAGAGCTATTTTTCTGAAAATATAAACAAAATGTATATACTCTTCTCTCTCACCACTTCTTCATTAATTCCAATTAACCATTTACTATACCTTAGCACATTATTCTCAACATATCTTTACTTCCTGCCAATTCTCCATCTTTTTCCTCTCTACAGTATATTCTCAATAATTACTTCTAATCTAGTCCAGTTTCACTAATTCTTTTTTTAGTCATGTATAATATCTGCTATCAAACCTACCTTTTGATTTTTATAATTATTTCATTTTTCTTTTCTATAAATTCTTTTTTTTTTCAGGCCTGGAGTGTCTCTTTTTGCAGTTTCCTACACCCTTAATACATTTCCAAGCTAGTCTTTTATTTCTTTAAACACAGTAACCATGCTTAAATGTGCGTCCAGTAAATCCAGTTTTTGAAGTCTTCACAGACCACTTTTCACTGTGCCTCCTTCTCCTGGTTCTAAATTATGGTGCCTTGTTTTCTTAATGCTTGATTTTCCTTGACTGCATGTCCTTGAAAACTTAATTGAAAAGTCCTTAAAACCTAGAATGAAGATGCTTTCCTCCAAAAGAAAATTTACATTTGCTTCTGTTAAGTGTCTAGGTTACTACTATTCTGGAATCACTTTTGATTCGATTACATGGTTTGAGGTTTCTTCGATCACCCAGGTAACAAAAATTTTTGTAGTAATCCTTCATAAAGGATAGCCTATGGTTATCCTTTTAATTCTCAGTAAAAAGTTCTTCTGAGGATTTTTCCCCTTTCTCCTTTTCCTCCCATTGTTCTACTCAGTGCCAAGCATTTTTCAAGGTAATCTCATGAAAGTGGGGATAAGAAGTAGAGAAGGGGAGCAGTTTTAATTGGGTTCATCCTCACCCAAAGAGTTTACCTCTACAGAGCTCTAATTTAATGTCGACAGTGGATATTAAAATTCTGACATTGGGAGGACCTGAGCTTTGACTACTTTCCCCTTTATTCTAAAAGCCATTGAGATTGAGGCTCACAGCTTCCTGATCAGCAAAGACCTTCAAGGCAAAAGCACCTTCAAATGCTGATCTTTATTATCTGGCATTCACCTGCGATTCCTCCCTCTTATTAGGTCTTTGATGCTTTAGGATATTTTGTTTATATTCTATCCAAACATTCTGTGACTACTGTCAGTAGAACTAGTTCAAAAAATTTGGCAGAGATAAATGTATTTGAAAAATAAATTAAAATAAAATTTTAAAAAAAAATTTGGCTTGCTATTATCACAAACAGAAGTCCCACATGTTACTAGTTATCTTCAATTTGTTGAATGAAATTAATTTTTGAATGAATGAATAAATGACTTTTAAATTAGATAAATCAACCTCAAATTTAATAATCTGAGCTTTCTAAACATCAGTTTCATCATTCACAAAATAAAGAAGTCAAACTAAATTATCTCTCTCTTTACTGTTCTAAAATACCAGAATCTATGCATTCATATATAATGTCACCTTTCAGCTTTTGGGTTATATCAACTTATTTAATAACTATGCCAAAGTATGTTTTATATTGCTTATTAATAGGCACTATTGATGGTAGTCCAATGGGCAGTTTTCTCACAGTGTCATAACTCCAAAATAACAATAAATGGGACTCACTGTTGCTTCAATGGCTCCCTTTTCCATCTTCTCAAACCCAAGAGCCAAGACACAGTCTGCCACACCTTGAAAGAAGATGTAATTGTTTTGAAAATTTTAATTTCCAGACACCCCCCAAAAATATATTAAATATTTCAATTTAAATATGTTGATTTATATAAAATGAAAAAACATTATAATCATATAAAAATTTTAATAAGTGAAAAATAAGAGAAAATTCTTATATGCAACCAGATAAGGGGAAAAAGTCAAGAAACTCTTTCTTTGAATCTCAATGTTAATAAAACTTTTGATTAATGTGGAAATATGTTTCAGTCAAGAATAAATAATTTTGAATTTTAAAACATTAAATAAATTTATTTTTTAAAGAATCCTGATCAAAATCTCAAGAGAATAATTTTTGGAGAGCGGGCATATCTAAAAAATGATGTTAAAGTTCAACTGAAAAGCAAAACAAGACAGAATTGACAATACCTGTCTTTAAAAAAAAGAAAGAAAAATAAAAAGGTACAGCACAAAGGGACACTAACATTATCAAACAGTATGACATTAAAAAGCTCCAAAAATTAAAACACTGAGTAGTGGACCAATAATCCACAATCAATAGAACAGAATAAAAGGCCTAATAAAAGACCCTAGAATATTTGGAAATATAAAGATGATATATACCCAAGAGAACAAAAATCACAAAAAAAAGTTTACAAATATTTATAGTAGTATTATTCACAATAGTCAAAAAATTAAGACAACCAAATATTGATCAACTGATAAATGAGTAAACAAAATATTGTACATCCTATACAATGGAATCTTTTCTTTTTTAAAGATTTTTATATTTATTCATTTTCAGAGAGAGGGGAAGGAGAGAGAGGGAGATAAACATCAGTGTGGTTGCCTCTCATGCGCCCTCTACTGGGGACCTAGCTCACAATCCAGGCATGTGCCCTGACTGGAAATCGAACCAGCAACCCTCTAATTCTCAGGCTGGCACTCAATCCACTTAACGACACCAGCCAGAGCCATACAACGGAATTTTATTTGGCCATTAAAAGAAATGAAGTACTGGTAAACATACCACAGCATGGATAAACTATGAAAACATAATGGTAAGTGAAAGCCACAAAAGTCCATATACTATATGATTCCATTTATATAATGTTCAGAATAGGTAAATCCACAGAGACAGAAAGTAGATAAGTGGTTGCAAAGAGCCGAGGGGAGGAGGAAAGGGGGAATGGCTGCTAATGGGTACAAGGTTTCTTTTTGATGTAACGAAAAAGTTCTAAAGTTTGGTAGTGGTGATGGTTGCATAAACCTGTGAACATATTTAAAAATACTGAATTGTGTACTTTAACAGAGTAAATTTTATGATCTAAATCACACCTCCCTAAAACTATTTTTTTTAAAGAAATATATTATAAAGCCATCCCTCTGACAATTGCATGGAAAAATAATGGAAGGCGGGGCAATAACCCCACATCTATTTAAGTACACTAGACTAATGAGCACTACTCACCACCCTGAATCAGCTGCCGGGCCACAAACAGAGCAGTAGAACCAGTAGAACAGTTGTTGTTAACATTGATTATAGGAATTCCAGTCAGTCCCAAACTGTGATAGATCGCCCTCTGCCCACTGGTAGAGTCACCTGTAGAGAAAACAAAATTAAAATTTATTATATGCAGCATGGCAAATACGGAACTGCAACACAATATAGTACCACATTATGATTTTTCAGTATTATGCATTTGCCTAGCATACAACATGAACAGAAAAACAAACACACTATTAACATCTTACTCAGAAAGTTTTAGCATTAAGCATCATTTACTCTGCAAATATAAAAAATTCTCAAAACACAGGCCCCGCCTGCGTAGGTCAGTTGGCTAGAGCACTGTCCTGATACACCAAGGTTGTGGGTTCAATCCCCAGTTGGGGCACATACAAGAAGCAACCAATGAATGTATAAGTAAGTTGAACAACAAATCGATATTTCTGTCTCCCTCTGCGCCCCTCCTTCCTTCTCTAAAATCAATAAAAAAATTGTTTTTAATTCTGAAAACACAGAATGTATGTGTACTTTCTTTACACAATACAGAGATTGGGAAGTAAAGAAATGACCAAGTAATAGCAAACAATTCAATATGACTCTAGGGTTACATGATTAAGGGAGCAATTTAAAACTATTAAAACAATCTTTAAAACTACACCAACTGATAAAGAAAAAGCTGTAATTTTCTCTTCATATAAAAGTTCCACAACTTCAAAAAGTTTAGAAGCTCCTGAGTGCCACGGAAGTCCAGAAAAATAGTGATCCAAGGTAAATACATCGGACGTCCTTTCCCAAGGAGCACGGCCCCGAAGCAGACAAGCTGGAGCAATGTGATGGGAACATCTGAAGGTCCAGGCTCTCCAGCAGTCCTCAGGGAAATCAGCAACGTACAGGACCTCCTTTTCAGTAAATACACTGCATCTAACTGAACTAATAAATTTCCGTTTAAGAATTTTCTTGATATCTTGAAATCTCAAGGAAATAAAAGATATGCACAAAGATTCATCTACAGTGTTGCCTTTTACAATATCTAGAAATTAGAAATAATTTTAAATGTCCAAGAACAGGTTATCATTACTAATACTAAGCAAACTGTAGTAAATCCCCCAGACTAGAATATCATGCAATCATTAAAAATGCTGAAAAGAGATTGGAACGTCCTAAATGACCATTAAAAGGGGGTAGATTAAATAAATTATGATATATCTATTCTATGAAACACTCTGCCACCATAAATAAAGACCAAGGATGCTCTTTATGATATAATTTGGAATAGTTACCAAGAACTACTAAACAAAAAAAAAAAGCTACAAAATGGTGTATGCATTATGCTACCATCAGTGTAACAAAAGAAAGGGGAAAAGGGAATTTACACAGTCATGCATACTTGTTTGAATATACATAAATTAGTCTAAGGCCATACCACCCTGAACGCGCCCGATCTCGTCTGAATATACATAAATTACCTCTAGAAAGACACACTAGAAATTAGTGAAATTGGTGGTCTAAGGGAAGGGAACCATGAGACAGGGAGACAGTAATAAGAGTGAGACTTTTCACTATATAACCATCCACCTTTTCTATTTTGGTACCATGTAAATATTTAATCTGTTCCAGAAAAAAAAAAACGTAATTGCAAAATGTTAATAATGGTATAAAAGAAGACTTAATGACATGGGAAATACTGAATATAATAAAATGAAAAAAGCAAGTCATCAAAAATTATATATACTAGGACCTTATTTGAAGAGAAAATTGTATGTGCATGTGTATTCACAAACATTCATACTCATTGAAGGATAAATACCAAAATTATTGGTAATAATTTCTAGAAAACGGGATGACAGGTGGCTTTATTGTATTAATTTTATTGAAGTGACATCAGTTAATAAAATTATATAGGTTTCAAGTGTACAGTTCTATAATACATTATCTATATATTGCATTGTGTGTTCATCACCCAAAATCAAATTGATACATAAATATTGTATCCTGCAACCTGACTGTATTCGTTCATTGTTTCTAATAGTTTTTTTAGTGGAGTGTTTAGTTTTCTATATAACCATGCCATCTGCAAAAAGTGACAATTTTACTTCTTCATTCCCAATTTGAATGCCTTTTATTTTTTTCTCTTGCCTGATTACTCCAGCTAGGACTTCCAGTTTGATGTTGAGTAACAGTGGAAGAGTGGGCATCCTTATCTGTTTCCTGTATTGTCCCCTTTATCATTATAAAATACCCATCTTTGCCTCATTACCTTTTTATCTTGAATTCTATTTGTCAGATATAAGAATGACTACACCTGCTCTTCTCTGGATGCTCTTTGTTTTGGAATATCATTTCCCCCCCTACCACTTTGAATCTATGTCATTGTAGCATTTGGTTGGGTTTTGGTTTTTTATCCCGTTCACTACCCTGTGCCTTTTTATTTACATTTAGGGTGATTAGTGACTTCTGAGGATTTCCTACAGCCGTTTTATCTTTTGTTTTCTGATAGCTCTGTGTCTCCCTTGTTTCTTTTCCCTTGTGTTTCAAGCTGTTCTTTAGTTTGGTGATATTATATGATATTTTCCCCACGGTTTTACCTTTTTTATGTTGTCTTAGTTCCAGATTTTTTTGTGTGAATACCACTAGGTTTTCCAAAAGAAAGTTTCAGACATACAGTAGTCCTTTTGCTTCTGAATACATCTTATCTCCATTCCCCTTTTCAAATTCAGACCTTTACCCTCTCCCCTTTTATGTTTTTTTGTCACAAGTTATGCTTTTTTATGTTATGAGTTCATTTCCAAATTGCAGTAGCTATTGTCTTCTGTTTTTTAAATGTTTTTACCTCCTTTAAGTTTTACGTTATATTTAAGTGTATAATATCCTATTTTGAATAAGGGCTGCAATTTCCTGCTTCTGCCTGTCCATTAGTCATCTTACTCACAGTTATATATCTTTTTTAAAACAAGATTGTATTTATTTACTTTTAGAGAGAAGGGAAGGGAAAGAAAGAAACATCGATGTGCAAGAGAAACATCAATAGGTTGCCTTTCGCACGTCCTCAACTGGGGACCCAGCCTGCAACCCAGGCATGTTCCTTGTCTGGGAATAGAACCAGCAACTTTTTGGTTCGCAGGCCAGCACTCAATTCACTGAGCCACACCAGCCAAGGCTCATAGTTATATATCTTTTTGCCTTTTTCAGTTAGAATAACTCCCTTCAGTATTTCCTGTAATGCAGGTCTTGTGGTAAATTCCCTCAGCTTCTGTATGTCTAGAAAAGTCTTTGTTTCCCCTTCATATCTAAAATCTAAAGGATAACTTTGCTGGATATATTATTCTCGGCTGGTAATTTCTCTCTTTCAGTAGTTTGAACATTTGATTCCACTCTCTCCTAGCGTGTAGGTTTTCTGCTGAAAAACTGATTATAATATAATGACATTTCCTTTAAAAGGTTACCCCAGCTGCCTTGAGAATTCTTTCTTTGTCATTAATTTTTGACAGTTTTAATACAATATGCCTTGGAGAAAGCCTTCTCTGGATTGAGATAATTAGGTGTTCTGTTTGCTTTTTGGATTCAAGGATCCAGCTCTTGTCATAGGTTTGCATTCTCATCAACTGTTTGAACAGGCTCTTTGCCATTCTCCCTCACTTCTCCTTCTGGTAAACCCATTATTCCTATTATCGCTCTTTCTGATGAAGTCTGATAGTTCTCATAGAGTTCTTTCATTTATTTTTACTCCTAAGTCTCTATCTTAAATATTACTAATTCTTTCCTCCATCTGGTCAGCTCTATTTCTAAGCTCACTAGTTCATTCTTCATCTTTCTTACTGAGTTCTTCAGCTCCAGAATTTCTATTGGTTATTTTTTAAAGTGTCAATCTCTTTGGTAAAGTACTCCATTTATTCACTGATTTTATTTGAGTTCATTAAACTGCCTATATGAGTTTTCTTGTATCTTTTTGAGTTTTTTTTTAAGAACTGCAATCTTGAATTCCCTGTTATTTAAATCATATATTTCCATGTTCTTGAGTTTATTTTCTGGAGATTTTTCATTTTCTTTCTCGGCTGCCTTGTTACCTTGGTTATTCATGGTTTTTGATGGGTTACTTCTCTGCCCAGGCATTTATGGCAATGAAATCTGCTCTTTTATTTTTAAGAGGAACAATTTTCTATTTAGGTCGATGAGAGGTCTTTCTTTGTTTTCTAGTAGGTGGTGTGGAAGCAGAAGTTTTTATTTTCTCTGACACAGCTCTGGCTCCTGGAATATCTGCAGGCCTGGTGGAAAAATGCCCTGTATTCCCTGGGGAGGTGGGCCTCTTCTCTGTGACCAGGTCTCCTCTGCAACCAGGTCACCTCAGTCTCAAACCACCGTGTTGGGGGAATGTGCAGGATGATGGGGTTCTGAGCCCACGAAATCCCAGTGCTGCCCCCTGTAACCAGATGCTGCTGGGCAGTGTCCCAGGGTACCCATCCTCCGCTCCCCACCCCCCCGCACCCCCAGTTCAGCTGTAATGAGCAGGCGGTGGGGTGGGCTGGCAGAGGCTAGCTGTGCCTCTGTGGCTTTGTTCTCTTCCCAGCAATGGCAACGGCCAGCTCTCAGCTGCCACACCTCTGTATGTCCACCACACCTACTCTTCACTGGGACTAGCCACAGCATGAGCGCACTGTTCAGGCAGGAACTCATCTGCCTTTCCTCCAGTTCTCAGGGTTGTAAATAATGTGCTCTGCAACCCAAGACTCACTGCCACAGCTTCTACTGGCGCCCACTGCTACCTCTGGAAGGGTGAGGAAAGGTGACCAGACTTCAAGGTTTTGTTTTCTGTCTGGCAATGATTTCTGCTAGGTCATGGGTGCCACACCTCTGTGTTCTGTCTCTGCTCCAGTCACCAGGTTCAGCCACAGCATGTGCTGACCACTCAGGCAGGAATGTTGATTCTATCTCTCTCTTCTTCAGGACTGCAGAGTACACACTGCAACCTGATTCTTCTCTTTTCCCAAGACTCACAGTGAGTTCCAGACTGCATCTCTTGCACCCATCTCTGCTCTTCTTCTTTCCCTCCTCCCTGCTCGCTCCAAGTGGGCCACATTCTAAATTTCAAGGCGTGGCTCTCTCAGATGTGTTTGTGTGTTCAATTATGGCTATTCAACTTGTAACTTCAAGAGAAGAGACCAGGAGGACCTCTCACACTGCCATGCCTCTGACGTTACTTCAACAGTTGACTTCTTTGTGCATTTGTCTCCCTTTTTTTTTTTACAATAAAATTAGTACATATCATTTTTTAATCAGAAAAAGCTTAATGAAAAAATTTTATTAAATACAAAAATGTCAATAAATACAAATTTAAGACAACAAGAATTACCTTTTTTCCTTTCTTTTTTTTCTTTTTTTCTAGGGGAGAGAGCAAACACAGTCCCCCCCCCTTCTCAACAGTAATTGCCTTTCTTTTTTTCTTTTTCTTTTTTTCAGGGGAGAACACAGTCTCCCACTTCCACAAATTATGCAGCTGAGTTTCCCACACTTGGGGAAATCACAGGGGTCAGCACATCCAGAGAGCAATGGATAAGCTTCGCCCTAGGAAAGCCACCTTTGTGATCATGCTATCTGCCCTGCCAGGTTAAGTATCAACAGTAATTATCTTTATATGGTACAACTATGGGTAACGTTTTCTTCATTAAAGATAAAAAATATTTTTAAATTTATCTCCTCTATTGACTATAAGAACTGCAAAAATATGTTAAACTAGGCCAACACACAAGAGAAAGGTAGGAGTGATGGGTTAAACTCTGAATTCTGAGTTTTGAAAGTTAAAATTCACAAATAACCCCATATTGTTTATGTGGCTGCTGCTAGATTTAGGTGAATAATTTTTAGAATATGTAGTTTAATACATACCATAAACGTAGCCAATACATGCCTGTTTCACTGCTGAATAGGGAATCTGTGCGTCAGCTAAAGCCTTCTGACCTATAAAAACAAAAGGGTTTTATGAAATAGTGCTTTAAGTATTTGCTTTAGGTGTTACAGTTTTCCCAGAGTAGTAAATTTAGTTTTCCCAGAGTAGTAAACCTAGTTTTCCCAGAGTAGTAAATCTACTTCTATGTAGCCTAGGTTCAAGTGAACACTAAATCATCTCAGATCTCTCCTTGCAGAAGCAATCATTTCTTCCTGTAAGCTACTGCCTCACCTTTTCATATTTTCTTTATGATACTTAACATTTTCTATTATAACTGTATATCTAAGTATAAATATATTAAATCCCAAGAGTCTTAAAGATCCTTAATGGGAAGGTCCTTGCCTTAATCATCTCTGTGGCTCCACCGCACATCTAGTGAGCAAAATTGGATAGAATGTCAATACTAGGTATGGAGAGGGATGGAAGCACTTGCGTGGTCATCTTACAAAGTCAGGATCAAGAGATGATGTTCTGTATGGAATAATAAATGGAGCTTTAAGGATGCTATTTAAAGTTACAAAAATGACCGATGGGGGAACTGAAAAAATATATAAAAGTAAACTGGGAAGAAGAGAGTGGAGGTTGGAGAGAAGGTGTGAGCTAAATCCTTATCTATCACAGTGAGAAGCAAACATAGATCTAAAATCGGTAAACCAAAGACTGGAATAAGCATGGTAGAATAAACATTTAGAGATATGGAAATAACCACTACAAGAACTAAAGCCAAACAGTTAAAGAAATTGCCCCCTGAGGAACAGGCCTGGGAATTCTAAGCTATTTTGTGGTGGTGGTGTTTTTTTTTAAACCATATGAATGTATTACTTCAAATTATTTTTACTGATTTTGGAGAGAGAACAGCAGAGATAAATATCGATTTTGGTGTTCCACTTACTTATGCATTCATTGGTTGATTCTTGTACAATGTCTGTACTCTGACCAGGGATCAAACCTGCAACCTTGGCATATCAAGATGACACTCTAACCAGCCAGGGCCTACTTTGAAATTTTTTAACTAAGAAGACATATAATTAATTATGTGATTAGTCAGACCAGTTATCTCTTCCTGCTTAGTATATGAGCAAAAATATTTCATGTGTTAGTTATAATAATGCTGGCAAGATTATATTAAGAAGGGCATTCTCATGTACTGCTAGTGAGACTAATAATGTAGACAGTCTGAAAAATAATTTGGCAAGAGCCTTAAAATGGTCATATATTCACTGTTCCAATGAGTCTACTTCCAGGCTGTCCTCAAAAGTAACTAGAGATGAGATGAAATATTTATTTAGTGAGATGTTCACTATAATTCTTCTAAAATATCAAAAAGTTGCAAACCTAAATGTCCAAAAAAAAAAAATCGTAGCATAACTATATCATGAAATACAAAAAAATTAAATTTTTTCAAATAATTTTAAGCAATAGAATTCTCATGCAAAATAAATTTTAAAATTCAGGATACAAAATTACATAGCATATTATCCCATACAGCCATATGAAAAAATACTATTGTAAAACAGAATACACTAAGATATTAATAATGATAGGCATGGGTCACAAAATTTCGTTTTCATTAAAATATAATTGTGTCCCAATAAAACATATGCATTGTTCTTATAATCAGTGGGACTGAGTCCCAAAAAGGTATAAGGTTTAGCCTGTGCTTTGTGCCTCCTCTAAATGCCAACAGCATGTTGTACTTAGCATGGGCTACTTACCACCTGTGTAAACTTGCCTTATTTTTCCTATCAAATGGGAAAAGGCTTGAGATCTGTATCCCACCCTACCCTGAATCCTTCCTGGTCCCCAAGATGCACTCACTAATATTTGTTGAACATTTCTTCCTAATATAAGGTTTTCTATGTATACTTTCAGATTCAAGTAACTGTTAAATTAAAATGTTTTAAATGGATGAAAAGACAAAGAAAGCACAGAAGTTAAGTATCTGAAAGAGTTACACAATGTTGCTATTCCACTCAAATGAGTGTATTTAGGTGCAAAGGAATCCTAACCTGTCTCTGAGGAAAAGGAGGATGAGGAATGCGCAAAGAGCAGAATTCTCTAAATACTGGAAGTTGACAGAATACACCTCCACTGGTTGTGCTCTTCTTCATTCTATGCATTTGGGAAATTATAGGAAAGAAAAATGGTAGCAGACCCCCCTCCTAAAACCAGTGTGGAGAATTAGAGGGTAAGATTTCTGGATCTACTAGTCCATGAAACCCATCCCCAGCCTCATCACCAGTCCATAAATAAGTCCAGAAAGAGTAGAGTGTAAAATCATTTATCGAATCTTAGGAGTTTTTTCCCCAAGCTGTGCTTGAATATACATTAACTAATACACTAAACGTGACTGAAGTAGTCTGAAGGTACATGTATCTTACCTAAGACTATGTCAGATATGTGAGTGGAATCATCCTTCTGTACTTCTCATTTCCCTAAATACTTAGAATGAAGGGGTATTTTTAAAAGCAAAGCTAAGTTTTAAAAGCTTATTCTACATTAAAGTTCCTTTATTAAGCGAAGTTTATTTTCTGGATTACACTAACAAAAGCAGAGAATTTTAAGCAGTAAGCAAAGTCGATCAGGCTAAATTTCTTGTTAACAATTGATCCCCACAGTTAGTTTCAAACTTCAAAACTTCACCTCAACATTACCATTTTATAATCAAAATATTATATTCACATATTACTAAGGTAACCAAAAAATTATTAATTAAATAAAAGAAGTGGAGCAAAAACATATGGAAAGAACTGTCTAAAGCATTTCCCACTTCAGAGAAAGGCAGAAGCTATTTGGAGATATCAGTCAAGAGAATGTTGAACAACATAAAAGATAAACATTAAATGAATGGTGTCCACCCAGAAGATCAACATCAATCAAATCTCATGAACCTTCCTTTTGGGGAGCAGAGATACTCTGATTTCATGTACACTAATAACTAAATACTGAATTAAATAATAGAGTTGAAACAAAATCCAAACATACAGGCACTAGGTACTAGGTACTAATGGAGACATGGGGGAATATTTAAGGAATAACCACAGTAACTCTTTTTGGGTTGCTTGGCAACAAGCTAGCAGGAATAGAATGGGTCCAGGAGATTTCCCAGGGAGAAGGACTAGACCTAACAACTTCATGGGGCCAAGGAGCTTCCAAGGTCTCCTCGTACTGGGAAGCTGGTATTTTCCAGCACTCCTAAACACCTGACACCTGAGTCTAAAATCTTTCTTTCCACCATGCAGAGAAGATATTGTGCTTGTCCTCCTTTTTCTTACGAGAGAACAACGAAATTCGGATCCATAGTTAAGCCTGCAGCCTGGCCCAAGCCTGTGTCTCCGAAGACTGCCTACAGAGCATGGACCACATACCTGTGGACCTTCTCTCTTTGAGTTCCTAATCACTATTACTCACCCAAGCCCTCTGCTTAACACTCACTAGAATAAACATTAACAAACTTCATCACCTCATTTAGTCAAACACTAGCCTAGCGATAGAAAAAGAATTCTCTACATTGGCTCAGTTAAGTGAAGAGAGGAAAACTGCCATACAGGTATTTAATCCATTTTGAATGTGATTATCCCTTTTCTAGGAAAGGAAGACACTAATTTTGTCACATCTGCTAGAATCAAGTTATCCCTTTTAATGAACCTACTTTTCTCTCCCACATGGCCCTCTGCTATCCCAACAAACAGCTGGGGAGCACATACAACCACTGGCCACTATCTGCTCTGGCTATCTAGCTAAGAATGCCTTTCTCCTTTCTAGTGAGCCACTAGGCAATTGCTTGTATAGGTTTTTTTTTTTTTTTTTTTTTTTTTGGTCAGGAGGCTGCTCCACAATCAAGACAGATCACACAATAAATTATAATGTTCAAAGATCTAAATGTTCTATATTACCTGCCTCTTTTGCCAAGTCAGGGTAGTCTCTTGAATTCCCAAGGTCAGGCTTCATGAACTAGAGGTATAGAAGGAGATAATAAATAGAAATAAGTTTAATTATATATCCTCACAACAGAGCATCACAGAAATTCATTCATTTAAATAAAAACATATTGAACACCTGGTATGTTCCTGGATTCTGATAATGGATATATGTTATCATTCATTTGTCCAAACACCACCAACAAGAGTGAACTCTGATGTATAAAAACTGTGGATTTTGAGTGATAATGATGTGTGAATGTAGTTTGGTTGTAACAAAGGTACAGAGTAGTTCTGGTGCAGATTAGTGATAGCAGATGAGGTTCTGCATGTGTGGGGGTCAGGGAGCATATGGAAACCATTTTTTACTCAATTTTCATGTGAACATAAAACTGCCTTGAAAAATAAAGCCCTATTTTTAAAAGAGAGAAGGAGAATGGGATGAGAACACTTACTTGCTTTTCAGCTCATTCTAGATACAATGTGGAGAAATAAATAAAGCGAGCAAGACTAGAGGCAGTGAGACCAAATGGCATGATTCTGAATAGTCCAAGTGAGAGTTCACTAACATAGCAGCACAGAGGATGAAAAGGAGATAGCCTTAAGAAATACAGAATAAAATCTACCAAACTTGGTGACTGAATAGATAAAGTGGAGTGGTTTCCTGGTCAGTGTTTGTGATAAGGAGAAATGACTTTCAAAAATTTCTGACTGCAAACCACAGTAAGATACATATTATAACACAACCCAGCAAACACAAGGGATTGGTTCTGAAAACCCCTCACAGATAGCAAAATCCATGGATGTTTAAGTCCCTTACATAAAATAGTGTTGTATTTGCATATAACCTATGCATATCCTCTTGTATACTTTAAATCATCTGTAGATTACTTATAATACCTAACACAACATAAATACTAGGAAAATAGTTGTTCTGCTGTCTTGTTTAGGGAATAATGACAAAAAAAAAATCTGTACGGGTTTAAGTACAGACACACCCTTCATAACCATCACAGACCTAACTACACAGTATACATCAACTACAATGTAACATCTTAGGGAGAATATTTTTGACCTGCAGAACCTGCAGATGTGGAGAACCAACTGTATATTCATATATAATTAAAGCAAAAATTTCATGAAATACTTATCCTTGTTATACTGGTACAATATTTTTCTACTTTTAACTTTTTTAATGCTAGGGGCAAACTTCTAAACTGATTTCATGACCTCCACTTTGTAACACTGTGTAGATACTTAAATGTCACACTTCACTGCAGTGCCAAAATGCATCTGTTAAACTGAACCAAACCAAAATATTTAACATTTATTCCTGTCTCTGACCCATCCCAATCCTTCATAATTTCCTAATTCAGCATCCGAAAGTTGCCTATTCTCCTTCTACTTATTCTCCAGTTCACTAGTCACAATCAGAGCATTTACAGAGAGTACTTACCATGAAAAGTACTCTGCTAGGCTCTAACAAGTATTATCCATCAAAGATTAAATTATCAGCCATTTAGTAAAATAACACCACATTCCCATTTCTAACTGAAATCAAGGTAATTTTTTTAAAAATTAGGCAGCAGAAGTCAGATTCAAAATTTGGAGAGGGATATGACGCAAAAGAAAGTTCTCCACTGCTGACCTGGAGGGTCCATGGGACAAGGACATGACACCATCCTCTAGGAGCTAAGGGTGACCCCAGACCAACTGCAAGCAAGAAAATGGAAACTTCATCCTCCAGTAAAAAAAAACAAAACAGTCATTTGCAAAGAAATCAATTTTGCCAGTAAAAGGAACAAGCTTGGAAAAGAAGCCCAAGCTCCAGATGAGAATGCAGCTGAGCAAAACCTTGACTGCAGGCTGGGGAAACCCTGAGCAGAGAACCTAGTCACATCACACCCCATATAGCTAATCCATAAAACCGCAAGATATAAATGGATGGTGTTTTAAGCTACTAAAGTTGCAGTAATTTGTTATAGATCAACATAAAACTAATGTGTTTATTGACTAAAAAAAAGTAGGCAAATTTAACACATGCATACCTCCTTCAAAATTACAAGCATGTTTAGGTGGAAACTACCAAATGTCAATTAACAGAAAACTGGATAAATTGTGGTACATTGACGAGATGGACATTATATCAATGAGAATGAACAACTTATTAACTACACGTAAAATTATGGATGAGTCTCACAAACATAATGTTGAACAAAAAAAAAAACAGAACTAATCTAGGGAATGGAAGGTCAGAAGTCAGGATAACGGCAAGCGTTTGCTGGCAAGGAGTCAGTGACTGGATGAGGGCAGAAGGGGAATTTCTGGGGTGCTGGTAATGTTCTGTTTTCTTTTGTTTTTATTTTTTTTAAGCAAAGAAATGCCAAAAGTATCATAAGGCTTATAATAAAAACAGCAATCTTGTCTCATTACTCCCCACCCACTGGTCTTACTCGCTCCGAAAAATACCCACTTTCAATTCTTTAAGCTATTTCTTTTTTCTTTTTTTTAAGGAGGAAAGAGAGGGAGAGACATCAGTATGTGGTTGCCTCTCGCACACCCCGTTAGTGGGGACCTGGCCTACAACCCAGGCATAGGTCCTGACCTGGAATCAAACCGGCAACACTTTGCAGGCCGGCACTCAGTCCACTAAGCTGCACCAGCCAGGGCTCTTTTAGCTACTTCTTCCTCTATAAAATGCCATGTTTCTAAATATCCTTATACTATTACTTCTTTACCAATTTAAGAAATTATATAATGATATCCAGTAAGGAACCCAACCAGTCAAGACCTGCAATAGTTTAAACTTTTATCTAGCAAATTTCTCCCTCTTCATCAAACCCTACCCAAAGTTCCAAAAATATCAAACCCAAAGGCAAGTACATTGGCCTAATAAAAACAACAATAAAGCTGCTTTCCATGTTCCCAATTTCTTTCCTCAGGAGTGTAACTAACACCTCCCACACCTCCACCTCCCAACTTGAGAAAATAGAAATAGACCCACTTCCCAAAGGGTTAGAAAGTTCTTTCTGGGTGCTTTCCTATATATAACCAATATAATCAAACATTCAACAGCCAATAAAGGAATAAAGGAACTGACTGCATTGATGCCAAAATGTAGGCGGTTTTATTGCTACCTTTATTAGAAGTCCCTTCTCTCATGAAACAATAGAATAATCTCCAAATATGTTTTATAATGTATTAGTTGATACACACACACGCTTTGATTGAATTGTGATCTTAGCCCAGTGGTAAGATAATGAAAATGTTAAGGGTATTTTCTCAGAAAAAGAACTCTCCCTAGGAGCTCTCTTTCACAACGCATATCCATTTAGTATTGTTCAACTAACATTCATTGAAACTTTTCAGGAACCACTACTTTCAGCGTATAGCCATGAATTAAACACGGTACTCCCCTTGGAGGAGCTTACGTGCTAAAGAAGAATATAGTCATATACACAGAATTTCAGTAAAACAGAGTAAGATAGAGTAAGTACAGGGGCTCTTAAGGTCAGGAGATTCAAAGGCTTCTTCTTGTAGAAGATCTGAACAGATCTCTGAAAAATGTCATTAAGTTAACCAAATGAAGACAAATGGTTCAAGCAGTGAGAACAACAGAAGCAAAGTTAACAGAGGCATAAAACAGAGTGCACAGTGAAACGAAAAGCAGTTTGGCATTACGAGAACATAAGGGTGGTGAATGTGTCAAGAAAGAAGACTGTAGGACCCTCCTGGCCCCCTAGTACCCAGCAGGGTCCCTTAAGGAACAGAAATGAAGTTGAAAGATCCAGAAAAATGGTCGCCTTGGGGCGACCGCTGCTGTTTACCTTGGTCATCCCAACCCCCACCACGAACACCCGGCGCTTGTGGGAGATAGGAATCATGGCTCCGACTGTGCTGGTTGGGTCAACGCGGTGCAGCGGACACTGGCGCGGTCAGGACTGCAGCAGAGACACGGTCACCCAAGCTCACTCAGAGCTGAAGGCGCTGTGGGTGGAAGCTTCCGGGGATGGGGCGGGGAACCGGGGTGAATGCGGCTGCGCGGATGTCCAGACGAGAACGCGCGCTGACTGTTGCGTAGCTCTTTTCTGCTTTGTTTGTTGTTTGTTTTGTTGTGTTTGTTTAGTAGAGAGAGACAGAGGGAATGTGTTAAAGTTGGAGAGAGTGACACAAGGTTTGGCGTAAGATAGAAAAAGCAAAAGAAGAGAGCCTAGATGGGGCTGCTTTGGCTCTCTACAAATGCTGAAAGAAATGCGCCTAGGAGGGGCTGCCGTGCCTGGAAAGTGGCAGAGAAAAGGGGGCCTTGGAGAAAGATTCCCCAGAAGAGCTGCCACTGCCTTTGCTCCCCCTGGTTGCAGGTCTCCATGGGTTACTCCGGGGTAATTAGAGTTTAGGAGACACATGCCTGAGAGGAAAGAGAGCGCTGTTAGGTAGCTCTTTGTAGACAGATAATGCTTAATTTTATCTCATCTTTCAAATATCTTTTCATTTCATTTGGCATTGTCTACATTCATGGACTTTACTTCCTCACCTCACATATACACCTCAACTCATCTCAATTTTATGCACAATAACTGGATTGCAAAAATATCTGTGAATGTGAATCCCTTGTGTGGAGGAAAATGGGGCCACATACTGAAACTGACAAGATCAGGGGAGGCCTCCATGGCGGGCCTTACTAACTCAAGAGACAGCAACCACATGAGATAGTCTGAATATAAAAATTTCTAACTAAAAGTGGGTCCTGCTCTGGCTGTTGTGGCTCAGTGGATTGAGCACTAGCCTGTCAACCAAAAAGGTCACCAGTTTGATTCCCCATCAGAGCACATGCCTGTGTTGCAGTTCAGGTCTCCAGTTCAGGGAGTGAGAGAGACAACTGAGCAATGTATCTCTCATACATGTATCTCTCACACATTGATGTTTCTCTCCATTGCTCCCTCTCTTCCCATCTTTCTAAAATAAATAAATAAAATCTTTAAATAAATAAGTAAATAAATAAAAGTGGGTCCTAGTGGGTAGTCATGTCCTAGGCCAGTATCTTTCTTGACAAAAGTCAATCTTTACCTTAACAGTGCCAGCCTATTGTCTTCTTTTTAAATTTATAATAATATACCTTTGGAATGTCAGAGTAATCTCCTTTTCTCCAGACCCCTCAGGGCACAAACTCCCACCAGTGCATGAGACTAGGGCCTAAACCCCTCATTGTTTTTTTCTTGCCCAAATACCATCTCTGTGTGCTGTAAATGTTAGTTGTTAACTATTTTGTACCCACTGCAATGTTAGAAATATCCAAGCCTGTAAAGAATTTATATGCGTTTATTTGAGCCAAACAGACAATAATTGCTGAGAAGAAAAATCTCAACAGATAGAGAAAATGCTTCAGAGAATGGCAGTTTTACTGCTTACGTGTATACATCAGAATCAAAGGTGAAGACATGAAATCTATTAGTGGTAGATTTAGGGGGATGGTAGAAAACAAAGTGAGGAAGTCTTTGAGATTGGATAAAAAGTGAAACGGAAAGACACATACTTCTTTTACAGTGGTGGGTACAGGATAGCTGACAACATTTACAGCACACAGAGATGGTATTTGCTCAGCAAGATAACAGTGAGGAGTTCTGGGATCTCAGGCTCTGGTGGAAGTCTGTGCCCTGAGGTTGTCTGGAGAAAGGGAGATTACTCTGACAATCCGAAGGTATATTATTGTAGATTAAAAAAAAAAAAAGAAAAAGACAATAGACAGTCTGGCTCATGAAAAGTAAAGATGGACCTTTGTCAAGGAAAATACTGGCCTAGGACATGACTACCCGCCATGATTCGCTTTTAGTTAGGAATTTTTATCTTCAGACCATCCAACGTGGTTATTTTCTGTCTTTTGAGTTTGTAATGCCTGCCGTGGAAGCCTCCCTGAGCTTGTCAATTTTAGTATGTGGCCCCATTTTCCACCCACACCACCAGTGTAGAAGTTTCTCCATTTTACTTTTTGTCCAATATCAGAGATTTTCTCACTTTACTTTCTCCGGCCTCCCTAATCTACCACTAATGGATTTCATCGTATCTTTGTTACGGAAAGCCAGACTCAAGACACGATTCAGGGAACGGAGTAAGCCTTTATTCACACGCGCGGGCTCAGAGGAGGCAGTCTCCAAATTCTGAGCCCCGAATCGGGGTTAGATAGGGGTTTATAAGCCCTAGCATTCCGGCGGGAAACGGATGGGCTTCCCAGGTGGGGGGAAGGGATTAGCATTCAGTTGGGAGATTGATGAGATTGATGTGCTACCCAGGCAGGGGAAGGGATGTGAAAACGGGCTACAGGAACAGATAAGCAATGATTAACAGTTAACCTGGGAGGGGTCTCTGGCTAGGCTGCTCCTCCCAAGTCTTCTTGCCCTTATCATCTTTATGTCTTCTCCTTTGATTCTGATGTATAACAAGCAGTAAAACTGCCATTCTCTAGAGCATTTTCTCAATCCATTGAGATTTTGCTTCCCAGCAACTGTCGTTGATAAGGGCAAGATGACTTAAGAGGAGCAGCCTAGCCAGAGACCCCTCCCAGGTTAACTGTTAATCATTGCTTATCTGTTCCTGTAGCCCGTTTTCACATCCCTTCCCCCGCCTGGGTAGCACATCAATCTCATCAATCTCCCACCTGAATGCTAATCCCTTCCCCCACCTGGGAAGCCCATCCGTTTCCCGCCGGAATGCTAGGGCTTATAAACCCCTATCTAACCCCGATTCGGGGCTCAGAATTTGGAGACTGCCTCCTCTGAGCCCGCGCGTGTGAATAAAGGCTTACTCCGTTCCCTGAATCGTGTCTTGAGTCTGGCTTTCCGTAACATTTGGTTCCCTGACCGGGAAACGACTCACACGAGCAGGCCGTTTGGCTGGGGTCGGCCGGGCGAGCCCGGACTCCAGAGGGAAGCACGTGCCCCGGTGATTTCGGGTCCCGAGGGGCTGGGCTCCCCTTGGCCCCGACCTCGGGCCGTTCCATAACCCGGGCACTCGGGGAGCGGACCCAAGCCTACCTGAAGGCGCCAGATTGGTAAGTGCCCCGGGGGACCAGACCTGAATCAGACCCACCTATAAGTGGTGGAAGAAGAGGCTGATCACCTCTCAGGCCGACCGGCCTCTGGCACGGTTTCCCTGTCGGGAGGGAAAGTGTTCACCTCTGTGTGATTGAGTGAGTGACTGATTGTGTGGCTCCACAGGCCGCGGTGTTTCCCCGAGCCTAGGAGTCTGAGTGAGCCCTAACCTGCGGGTCCTCGGTCTGTCATACGGCATAACGGCTGGGAAGCTAACCCGGACTCTACTCGGGCAGCCTTAGCTAAGACAGACCCAAGTCCCTCGCGAGAGGAGAGGCCAGGCGGGCGAAAGTGAAAGTATCCCTGCTGCCCCCGTTTGTCTGCGCCGTTTCGGGAGGGATCATGGGGGGCAGAGTCTACTGTCTTAGATTGCATGTTAAGGAATTTCGACCGGTTCCGGGGCCAGCAGCCCGATATGGATCCGGGGCAATTAGAAATTTTCTGTTCCGCTGAGTGGCCCAGGTTCGGGGTAGGCTGGCCTCCTGAAGGAACCCTTGACCTAGACATAATTAGGGCTGTCCATCTCATAGTCACAGGAAGTCCAGGACACCCAAACCAATTCCTCTACATAGAAAAGTGGCAGGAGCTAGCGCAAGAGATGCCCGACTGGCTCCGGAAAGGTGCGGGGGTCAAACCTCGTCACCTAGGCGCTACGGGAGGGCGAGCCAGGGGAGCCCGGAACTGTTGCTCCCGATCAAAGGAAAGGGATGTAACCCGCATCCTAGTTGCCAAACCAGTGGCGAGACCCCCCTATCTATCAAGGCCCGCCAGAGGAAGACCCCCCGGTGCAGCCTCCCCCTTACCCAGCTAGGAACTTGGGAGGTCAGGCAGAGGCGCCTGAAACACCGCCCCCTTCAGTCTCGCCCCCGCAGCCCGAGGCAACAGCACCCCCAGAAATCCTATCGCCTCCCGCTTAAGACACCACCAGTCCCTCCAGATGCCACTGCGGGAGACCCAGGGCCCGCCACGAACGGGGCCTGATGGGACCTTATACCCGGGACCGGTCGTGTTTTACTATCAGCCCTTTACCACGACTGACCTCTTGAACTGGAAACACCACACACCCTCATATTCGGAGAAGCCCCAGGCACTCGTAGACCTAATGGAGTCCATTATGCAAACTCACCGGCCAACGTGGTACGATTGCCGCCAATTGCTCCTAACCCTTTTTAATACGGAAGAGAGGCGCAGAGTCTTCCAGGAGGCCCAGAGATATCTAGAAGCTAACGCTCCAGTGGGCACAATAGACCCAGCCCAGTACGCTCGGGTGGCAGCCCCAGAGACCCAACCCGACTGGGATCACAACACCGAACAGGGAAGAGCAGCCCTGGACCGGTACAGGGAAGCCATCCTCCAGGGGGTCAGAGCTGGGGCCAGAAAACCGACCAATATGTCAAAGGTGGCCAGTGTTGTCCAACGGCCAGATGAATGTCCCGGGGACTTCTTAGAAAGGCTCCTAGAGGCCTACCGGATATACACCCCCTTCAACCCAGAAAGCCCAGATACACGGCTAATGGTAAACACTGCTTTTGTCTCCCAATCGGCCCCTGACATCCGCAAAAAGCTCCAGAAGCTAGAGGGCTTTGCAGGCATGAACATCAGTCAGCTGGTTGAGGTAGCAAATAAAGTCTACAATAACCGGGAGGAGGCCGCTGAGAAGGCAGCCCAGAAAAGATTAGAGAAAAAGGCCGCACTGCTAGCAGCCGCCCTCAGTCAGCCGGCAGCAAAAGGCAAAGGGGGACCGAAAGACCAGAAAGGGCACGCCAAGGTAGAGAGAGACCAATGTGCCTATTGTAAGGAAAGAGGACATTGGAAAAGAGAATGCCCGCACCGGAAAAAGAAGGCTGGTCTGGCGCCCTCTGAGCGGCGCCCACCATCCTTAGCCTGGCGGGCCTAGACTCAGAATGAGGAAG